GTCTGCCAAGGTACAGTGAATGAGAGATAAGAAAAAACCTGGCTCCAATATTTCATTGCAAATGAAAGTTATAAATCATCAGCTTTGAATTGCATTTGTTTAGAGTAGTGTATTTTGATGGATATTTGCTACTCTATGAGAGCACTAGACCAAGGAAATGGTGAACTTTATTGACTATATAAGAAATCAAAAATCTACTAAGCCTCAAAAACCACAACTTAATCAGGACAACTTACTTCCAGTGTCTAGAAATCAACAGCTTGGTAACACTTAGACTTGAACATACAGATTAAGAAGCAAGTCCTCCTGGTTTTTCTTAAACCTGCTTCCAATGCATGAAATCAGTGTCCTCCAAAAACTCATTTTCATTAAACTATTTCCATTTGTATGCTAAAAACAAAGTATCACCTGGGATTAACTTCATCTTCAAATCAGACTAGGGATAAAAACTAAATACAAAGATAATTTTATGATTGCATTTGTCTTTCTTTAAAAACAGCACCAACTTTATGACTGATCTCATTAACCATATGATGTTAACTCCTCTTTCTCATTTCATTTTCCTAGTAAAAACTACATCGTCAATGCAGATGTTATCTTGACATGGAAATACAGATACCCAGGCATTTTAATCCCAAGACTAAAAGCAGCTTCAGGGTCCAGTTCATCATCAAATAAGATGTGGTAAAAGACAAATGTAATTCCCCATGCAGCAAGTCTGATCAAAGGCCTACTGAGATCACTGGTAGGAAAAATCTTACAGTTCTGCAGTCAGTTCAGGACAAAAATTAAGTCCACAGAAATGGATTTGTCAGGAATAGTTTGGATAGATACTGTTTTTCCTCAGGCAACTGTACTGCACTACACCATCATTAAAATTTCCTCCCAAGTTAAAATCTTATTGACTAACTACCTTTAGTCATCAACACCAAAAAACCTGCTGGAGTATGTAAGCAAACTGTTTACATGCAAAAAAATTAAACAGAAATGACAGATGACCCTTACCTGTTTCAAAAGCTGAAGGATCAGTGGGAAGAGTCTGAAGAGAACGACTAAGATTAGTCTTTATATCTTGGTTTAGTAACCGCGATGATGATCCAAGCCAACTTGGTTCCTCCCAGCTTCTCTTTCCTGAGTGACTCAAGCGAGTGGGGCTGGCAGGAGCGCTGATTGCCCGGTCATACATCTAAAGTGTAGGCAGAAAACTGAATATGTAATCAATTAAAAAATCTCCATCCTGTCATTGCACCTTTGCAGCATCCATACATTTTGGTACCCCTTCACTCACTGTATTCACTCTTACCCGTTTGACAGCCAAGGTAGCAATCCCCAGCATGGCAGCACCTCCAACACCAAGTACAAGTCGGGCATTGGATAATACGAAATCAATGGCAGTGCCAATGCCATTATCATCCTTCTTTCCTTTGCGCTCTCCAGCGCCTGCCATTGTTCCTTCATGGAGAGAGAAAACCATGAGTTGTTAATACTTTTCAATTTGATAGTCTGCCACTCAATATTTCCTGATCTGAGCCTGAACCTTACTCAGTTACAGAGGCGATGACTAAGACATTTATTAGTATTACGGTATTAATTATCTGTACTGCTACACATCATAGCATGACATGCTTTGTAATCCTTATGTCATTTGTTAGAAGAACACTGACATACCTTCAACAGACATTTCCCCAAGACAATTTACTGAATGCCATGGCTGAATGAATGCCTGAATTCCTCAACATCCATAGCTAAGGTTATGTCTTTTATGTTATACTGCCATATCTGCAAAATTCAACTAAATTCTCAAGACAAATGAGACTAATAGCTATTTGCTCTTTAAAATGCTAAAGGCAAATAGTATACAAATGAGTCAATCTGAAGATATTTGTACTAAAGAGTTAAAATTTACTTGCTCATACAATCTAAAATAAAACTTTTATAAAATGATGTTTAAGTGTCATCTGGCTCCAGACAGTTTAGCAAAAATGTATAAAGGTATAAAGAATATCTGCTGGAAATGTAATCAACAAATTGGATTATTCTGTCATACATGTTGGAAGTGCAAAACGGCAAAGAAATATTGGCTTAAAAGAAGTAAATAGATGACTAAAATTGTGAGATGCAAATTAGCACTGAGACCAGAGTTATATCTATTAAATATGATACATTTAAAGGATAAAAGAGAAAGACAGAGAGCATAGAGATTTAATATATTATATGGTTATTGCCGATAGTCTATACAAGATGTTGGAAAGTTAAGAAAATTATATGGAATGGATAGAGAAGGTACTGGATTTGGCAGAACTGGATAAATTAACTAATTATATAAGAGGAAACTCTGCTGATGTCTTTTTAGGAAGATGGAAACCTTTTACAAGGGGGGGACATTACTATTGTGGGATTTGATGTTTAAGGAGTAAAGTTAAAATTATGAGACTTGGGAATGAAAAGTTGAGATATGATAGTTGGTGTACAGTAAATAATGACAAAAAAAATGAAAGAAGAAACTAGATTATATGGTTAAGTGGTAGTTAAAGAGGTAAGTCATTTTTACATGGGGAAGAGGGTAGGAGATGCAGATGTAGTATGTCACTAGGGTTTACAGGGTTTTTCCTTTGTTTACGTTTGTCATAGTGAATGTTATGTATGTATTTACTCTAAAAACTATTAATATATATATTTTAAAAACACTAAAGGCAAAAACAACTGACATTTTTAGAGGCACAAATTCATGCAGGTGGACTGATTTCCAGGGAGTCATAAGAACAGTTGAACAGTAAAAAGAATACCACATCATTGCAAATAACCTACCTGCTACTTAATGCATCTGTGAAGGAAGGAAGGAGAATACTCCCCAGGATCTAGGTAAGACACTTTCAGGATTCTGTTTTCAAGTTTGTACCAATCTGGCAAAATTAACCATCTAGTTCAGATGGCCAGAGAAAGAAAAAAATCAGAGAAGTGAAAAGGGAAAACAAAGAAATCTCTACACCAACCCCCCAAGTTTGCTTTGCAAGAAAGCCTGGCCCTTCTCCAGTTGTCTCTCCTTATCTTCAAGACGGTCAAGCTTCTGGTTCTTGCGGAACTCTTGTCGGATTGAGTTGAAGTAAAAATCACGGTCGGTGTAGTGCAGGCCACGTCCCTGACGCAGCAGAGCACGATAAAGGCTCAACACTGCTTCACGTGTCCACTTTGCCATGGAGGATGAATAACAGGGTGGTAATCTGAAGGTACAAAGAAAAATCAAACAATTTCCTGATAAATAATTTATTTTCTTAGCCAGATTACGATTTACCACTAACAAGGGTGGGATGGAGGAGGATTGAGTGGAAGTTAGCAAATTACTAGAAGAGTGAGTCAGTGGGGCGAAAGCTTATGTGCATGCTTTGTGAAGAGAATGAATTAGATGCATGTTTGTGGTGTTTTTGGATATGTTTACATGTGCATGTATGCTCATACACAGATGTGCTGGCAGAGGAGATTATGAGTGCCTTGGGGGCAGATGGTGGTCTTCCTAATTGGAGGAGAGCCATTTTGAGAATTTTTTAAAAAAGATGGACCTACATGGTTTAGTGGCTTGCATGTTGAACTAGGGCAGTGATGGTGAACCTTTTAGGCACCAAGTGCCCAAACTAAACAGCCTGTGCCGGAGGTGGGCCTTTCAGGGGGAATGGGACTTCTGGGGCAGGACTTCCACCCTATGGGGGCGGGATGTCTGGGGTGGGATTTCTCCTCTCCCCCCCCCACCTCCCCAGGCCTTCAGCTGCCTCTCTGGAGGTTTCCAATTGCCTTCCTCTGAGGCTGAGAGATTGTTACATGGCTGAGAGGGGACCTGAACCTTGGTCTCCAGAGTCCTAGTCCCATGTTGGCGAACCTATGGCATGATACCAGAGATAGCACACAAAGCCATTTTCCCTGGCACACAGAGCGGGAAAGAGGAGGAAAAGGTACGTGCCTGTTCCTCCACCTCCCAGCCGTCCAAGGCCTTCAGCTGACACCGGAGGTTGAGGTTGATGGTGATGATGATTATTATTGTTTATTTATATCCCACCTTCCTCCTAACACAGGGACTCAAGGCAGCTAACAAATCTAAAACAGTCCAAGTTAAAACAGTAGAAATGTTAAAAATACGAAATTTAAAAAACAAACAATTCAAAACATTTCATTATTACAATTTAGTTTAAAAACAAAACAGCACCCATGTCACGTGAAGGCCTGGAGACATAAAAACATCTTTACATGCCACCAAAAGGACAGGAGGGATGGAGCCATCCTGGCCTCCCTAAGGAGCGAGTTCCAGAGCTTGGGAGCAGCCACTGAGAAAGCCCTTTCTCTTGTTCCCACCAAACACACCTGAGAGGATAGTGGGAGAGAGAGTAGGGCCTCTCCCAATGACCTCAATACTCTGGGGGGCTCATACAGGGAGATATGATCCTTCAAAAAGCCTGGACCCAAACTGTATAGGGCTTTATAGGTCAAAACCAACACTTTGAATTGTGCCTGGAAACGGACTGGCAGCCAATGGAGCTGTTGCAACAAGGGAATTGTATGCTCCCTGTAACCAGCTCTAATAACAGTCTGGCTGCAGCTCTTTGGACCCGCTGAAGTTTCTGAGGACTTTTCAAATGCGGCCCCACGTAGAGCGCATTACAGTAACCCAAATGGGATGTAACCAAGGCATGTACCACCTTGGCCAGATCTGACTTCTCCAGGAACAGGCGCAGTTTGCACACAAGTTTATGCTGTGCAAAGGCACTCCTGGTCACCACTGATACTTGGGCTTCCAGGCTCAGCACTGAGTCCAGAAGTACCCCCAAACTACGAACCTGGGTTTTCAGGGGTTGACCTACTGTAACTACAGAGGGGAGGAAATGACTTATGGCAATCCTAAGGTAAACCTATCATGGAGTTTTCTTGGCAAGATTTGTTCAGGGGTTTGTCACGGCCATCCTCTGAGGTTAAGTGTGTGACTTGCCCAAGGTCAGCCAGTGGGTTTTTTTTTATGGCTGAGCTGGGAATCGAATCCTGGTCTCCAGAGTCTTAGTACTGTACAGCACTCAAACCACTATGCTACGCTGGCTCTCTTGTGCTACCTAGGATGTCTAAATCCTAATGCTAAGAATTTCTCTCAGTTGACATTTTATTAGCTGGTCTAGTTTCCATGCTGGCCCTAGGGCACCAAGCTGCTAACTTTTTTCAGTAACTCTTAAAGGTGTTACAGGATCCCTTTCTATACTGATTTTCCAAACTAACATGGCTAGGTCTTTCAATTTCGACATAGGAAAGTTCATCTTCCCATTCCTAACTCCCGCTCCCTCCTCTAAAAGGGAAAAGAGCCTTATGGGACTGCATGAGAAAGGAAGACAACTGGACCTTGGAGCATCGTGAGCATATGTCATCCTAACCACAAAGGAGGAAACAAGGCAGCTCAATATATAGGACTTTCAAGAAAAAGGTAGGACATGTTCAGATATCTAAAAATACTCATATAAATGTAAATTCATCCTTCTTAGCCATGCTTAAAATGGGAGGACATTTTGGAGTTCCTCCTGGACAGAAGGTTGAAATGTAGGACGGGTCCTGGAAGAGGAAGACCTCTGGCTGCTCTGCATGAGAGCCCATGTGTGGTGTAGTAGTTTAAATGTTGGACTATGACACTGGTTTGAATCCAAGTTGCCAAGTTGCTCTTGAAACCCACTGGGTGGGCTTGGGAAAGCAGATCACCAGAGATCCTAACTGCGAAGGAGGACAAGGAACTGCAAAATGTAGGACACGGAAGAACAATGTAGGTCATTTCACAATAAAAGTTATAAACACTCATAGAAATGTAAATTCATGCTTCTTAGTCATGCTAAAAATGGAGGACCTTTTGAAATTGCTCCTGGACAGGAGGCTGAAATGGAGGACATGTCCTGGGGAAGGTTCAGAATGAAGGGCCTTTTGGGATCCCTCCTAGACAGAGGGCTAAAATGGAGGACATATTCCGGGAAAGGCTCAAAATGGAGGATCTTTTGGGATCCCTCCTGGACAAGAGGCTAACATGGAGGACGTGCCCTGGAAAAGGTTTAAAATGGAGGACCTTTTGAGATTCCTCTTGGACGTGTCCTGGAAAAGGCTCAAAATGGAGGATCTTTTGGGATCCCTCCTGGACAGTGAGCTGAAATGGAGGACGTGTCCTAGAAAGGGTTTAAAATGGAGGACCTTTTGGGATCCCTTTGGACAGAAGGCTGAAATGGAGGACGTGTCCCGGGATAGGCTCAAGATGGAGGACCTTCTGGGATCCTTCCTGGACAGGAGGTTGAAATGGAGGCCGTGTCCTGGAAAAGGAGGACCAGGTCTGGTCAGCCCTGCCTTGGAGGGGAGGCTCCCAGGGGAGGAGCCCGGGGGTCCCTGGGCAGCCCTCCCTCCTCCTGCGGCCCGAGGGCGGCCTCTTTGGATACCTTCGAGGAATGAGGAAAAAGCTCTCCGAGAGCCTCCTCCGTCGCCTTCCAGGGGCTCCTAACCCGCCTCTTCCCGCTCTCAGCGCCGCGCCCGGGGTCACTCAGGAACATGGCCGCTCCACTTCCGGAGCACGACCTCGCTCGCTATGGAAACGCGGCCTCACTTCCGGTGCCGCCCGCCAGCAAGCCCTAAGGGGCGGGGCGAAGGAAGAGCACCGGCTGGAAGCCTTTTCACCCTTCCTTGGGTTTTTTAAAGAAGGGTTTCTCAGCAGTTGTGCCTCCTGTGGCCCGCGAAGAAGAACGGAGGAAGGAAGCGGGGAGGCTTAGTACAGGACGTGAGAGAGACCTAGGAGTCTTAGGAGACCCCATTGTGGGAACATGAGCCCACAGTGTGATGCTGCAGCTAAAAAGACCAATGCGATTGTAGGCTGCGTTAATAGAAGCATTCTGTAGTCACTACAGCAGGGGTAGGCAACCTTTCCCCTTTAAGGGCCGAGGGACTTAAGCTCCCAGAATCCCAGGAGCTATTGGCCAACATGGGACTATTGGCCAACATGGCTGAGGCTTCTGGGAGCTGAAGTCCCTCGGCCCTTAAAGGGGAAAGGTTGCCTACCCCTGCACTACAGTGTAGTGTCTTAAGTAGAAGGAAGTAATAGCGTCACTCTAAATGACTGGATGGCCCTCTTTGGCAACTCTACGGTTCTGTGATTCTGTGTAATCTGCCCCATCTACACATATGACAAGTGCTATTCAACCTCTTTCTCAAGGACTTGGATGAAGGAATAGAGGACATGCTTATCTATTGCTCAACAATGGCTCCTCTTCATCCTGGAAAGAAGTGGCCAGTGGGTGCCACAGGGTTCTGTCCTGGGCCCACTGCTATTCAACAAATTTATCAGTGACTTGGATGAAGGAATAAAGGGCATGCTTACCAAATTTGCAGATGATACCAAATTAGGAAGAATAGCTAATACCCCAGAGGACAGGATGAGCATCCAAAATGGCTTAATAGATTAGAAAGCTGGGCCAAAGCTAACAAAATGAATTTTAACATGGATAAATGTAAGGTACTGCATTTAGGGCATAAAAATGAAATGCATAGATATAAGATGGGTGACACCTGGCTTAATGAGACTACGTGTGAAATGGATCTAGGAGTCCTAGAGGACCACAAGTTGAACATGAGTCAACAGTGTGATGCCACAGCGAAAAAGGCCAATGTAATCTTAGGCTGCATCAACAGAAGTATAGTATATCAAGGGAAGTAATAATGCCACTGTATTCTGCTCTGGTCAGGCCCCATCTGGAATACTGTGTCGAGTTCTGGGCACCACAATTCAAAAAAGATGTTGAAAATCTGAAGTGTGTCAGAGGAGGGCGACTAAAATGGTGAAGGGTCTGGAAACCATGCCCTATGAGGAATGACTTAGGGAACTGGGTATGTTTAGCCTGGAGAAGAGAAGGTTAAGAGGGGATATGATAGCCCTGTTTAAGTATTTGAAGGAGTGTCATATTGAGAATGGAGCAAGCTTGTTTTCTGCTGCTCCAGAGAATAGGACCCGGAACAATGGATGCATGTTATAGGAAAACAGATTCCACCTAAACATTAGGAGGAACCTCTTGATTGTAAGAGCTGATTGACAGTGGAATACACTCCCTTGGAGAATGGTGGAGTCTCCTTCTTTGGAAGTCTTTAAACACAGGCTGGATGGCCCTCTCTTGCAGGTGCTTTGATTGTGAGTTCCTGTATGGCAGAGGGTTGGACTGGATGGCCCTTGAGGTCTCTTGCAGCTCTATGAATCTATGAATGAGGATGGAGCAAGCTTGTTTTCTGCTGCTCCAGAGAATAGTGTTGAATTATGGTGAGAGTATGCAGAGTGTGTGCAGGACTGCCATTCACCAGCTACATACATCTCTGGATCTGTAGCTCCCTGCAGCTTGCAGCTTTCCATGAAACCAGACCAAAGATCAAATTCTCTTCAAAAGAAGGTTCTTTATTCTTCAGTTGCAGAATTAACAAGATAACTATTTACATTGTAGGACATCCATTAGCAGGCAGAAAACAAAGGAAACTCCATGCCAATCCCAGCAATCCACTCAAGGCAATAGCAAAAACTCCACCCCCAGGTTGATACCATTTATAGACATTTGCTAAACAGCTTCTAAACCCAGCCTTCTTCCTGTGTCTTGTGTCATGTGACCAATGGTTCTCACACACTCTGATGACCTAATTTGTTTTCTCTTGTATCCTGTGTTCCCAGACACACACTGACCTTGATTATGTTGTTTTCGTGTAATCCATCTGCAGGCTAAAACTTTCACAGCTAGAATTTTCCCAAATCTGTACGTTTCCACTTTGACTACAAATCCCAACAGAGCAGTGGATGCAAAGTACAGGAAAAGAGATTCCACCTCAATATTAGGAGGAACTTCCTGGCAGTGAGAGCTGTTTGACAGTGGAACACACTCCCTCGGAGTGTGATGGAGTCTCCTTCTTTAGAGATCTTTAAACAGAGGCCATCTGTTGGGGGTGCTTTGATTGAGAGTTCCTGCATGGCAGCAGGGGGTTGGACTGGATGACCCCTGGGGTCTTTTCCAACTCTATAATTTGATGACTTTTAGATTACATCCACATTGCAGAAATGATCCAGTTTGTCACCACTTTATCTACCATGGCTCAGTGCTGTAGAATTCTGTGAATTGTAGTTGATTGTTGCATCTGAGATCTCTGAGAAAGAAGATTAAGGGGCTGTGCAGATAGCGCAAAGCGCTGTCTTGGAGCCAGGGAAGGGGAGGGGTAGCCGGATGCCCCAACTCCTTCCCAAGGATGTCATCAGAGCGCCCGCCGTTGCACACAGCAAGCGCTCTGATGACATCCTTCTGGCACAGCATTTTTACACACTGCACTGGAAGAGGTGCAAAAGAGCCGTGTGGTGGCTCTTGTGGCGCCCTTTCTGCACTTTGGGAAAGGAGCGCTATTTTGGCGCTCCTTTCCCAGTTGCCAAAAGGGTGGATTGGGGCCGAGGCATGGGGCAGCCTCGGCCTCAATCCTCTGCTTCTCAGGACGGCCCATGGCTGCCCGTCTGCATCCCCGCACAATGTCTCATAAAACTACAATTCTCCAGATTACATAGCATTGAGCCATGGCAGTTAAAGTGGTGTCAAACTGCATTAATTTTGCAGCTTAAGGCTGCATCCACACTGCAAAAATAATGCAGTTAAACTGCATTAATTCTGCAGTATAGATGCAGCCTAAGACAAAGATTAGATAAGTTATGGAATGATGCTGTTGTGTGCTTTCAAGTCATTTCCAACTTATGGCAACCCTAAGATGAAGCTATCATGGGGTTTTCTTGGCAAGGTTTGTTCAGCGGTTGTTTGCTATTGCTTTCCCCTGAGGCTGAGAGCATGTGACTTGCCCAGGGTCACCCAGTGAGTTTCATGGCCTTGTCAGGAATTGAACCGTGGTCTCCAGAGTTGTAGTCCAAGACTCAAAGACTATAAAGCAATTTCAAGCAAGACTCAAAGACTATCTAAGGCAATTTCTTGTGGCATAGGTACTGCTTTTTAGGAGCAGGAAAAGTGCAATGCTTGAAGCTCCAAGCCCCACTGACTGTCTTAAAAAAACTGTATTGGTGAT